AACTAGAACCTTTCAGGGTGATATCTCTGGGACTGTTTTGGCAACCCAGTGGATCCATTCAGAAAATAAGAACCTTTTTAGCCTTACCCTGACTGATATTCAACTTTGATATACTCATTTATTTTCTTAGAATGATTGTCCTTTATTTTATTATGGAAAAAAACACCACCTGCTGCAGCTGTGGGGAGACCAATTCAGATACATTTTATTAGAGAAGATGTATATTGCTATGGGGAAAAGTGCCTGAAAAAAAAAAAAAAAAATAAATATATTGCCAAAAAATTCTCTAGAGAACAAAGACCATGTTAATATTATATATCAGACAAAGCAGATTCTTACCTGTTTCTAGATTCTTTATTATTAAAGATGCTTTCTGTTCAGGGCATATAATTTCAGTGCCTCCTAAGGCATGCATTTTGAGCCACAGTTCTCTCTGTAAATTATGAGTTAAAGAATTAATTCCGTTCCACTCTCTAGTAAAAATTCATTCCTTGAAGACTCATGTTGGAAGTCATCTGTGAAGAACTGCAAAAATAATCGGTTCTTACTTTTTTGCTAAAATTAAATTAATTAGCTTAACGATGTTTCTAATGTTTCCCTTATTTCTTACTTAAAAAAAAATAATGATATCTTACAAAACTGAAATGGAGATTATGGTGGCTAGCCAGTGCTGGCGTTGGTCCTTGAAAACTGAAGTTCCTTTTTTTCCCTAAGTTATGACTGGTCATCTTGTGCCTGGTCTAAGGGGATGACACCAGCCTGCCTTGCCTTCCCGCTCCCAACCAGCACCCATGCACAAGTGAAAAAGCATTTAAAAGACAAGTAAGCACGGTCAGTTTCCATTTACTCAGAAACTTTAAGAACTTTTTCTGCAACCTTACCTCTATTGAAGTTATTCCTCTAAGTTCACTAATGACAATATATAAGAGTGTTGTATATATTTAATAGCATTTGTCATGTAAATATGATAGCATTTACTCTACTTCCCTGTTTTATTTATTTTTTTATTTTTATTTTTTTTTAATTTTTTTAACATTTATTTATTTCTGAGACAGAGAGAGAGACAGAGCATGAACGGGGGAGGGGCAGAGAGAGGGAGACACAGAATCGGAAGCAGGCTCCAGGCTCCGAGCCATCAGACCAGAGCCCGACGTGGGGCTCGAACTCACGGACCGCAAGATCGTGACCTGGTTGAAGTCGGACGCCTAACCGACTGCGCCACCCAGGCGCCCCTCTATTTCCCTGTTTTAAACATTTTAGAAGTTCACTTATTTAGTCCATATAACACTTTGAAGTAGGTTCACTTGTTAACCTCATTTTATCGATGAGGAAACTGAGGCCAAACCACATCTTGAAAAGTAGCAGAGCTCGATTGAACTCCCGCATTTCGATTGCCCCTCAGTACCATGTGCTGCTTTCTCAGGGCCCCCTACCCACCAAACCAAAAGAAGTCCACTTGGTTTCACTCTTACTGAATTTAGAATGAACAGCATTTGATGCTGTCAACTGCCTTTCTTTTGAAACTCTATCCTCTGAATTTGTGACAATTATGATTTTTTTCACTTCGGTGTTTTTGTTTTTAATTCATATCAAAGTTAGCTAGTATATAGTGCGATAACGATTTCAGGAGTAGAGTCCAGTGATTCATCCCCTACATATAACAGCCAGTGCTCATCCAACAAGTGTCCTCCTTAATGCCCCTACCCATTTAGCCCATCCCCCCCCCACAACCCTTTAAGCACCCCTCAGTTTGTTCTCTGTATTTAAGAGTCTCTTACGTTTTGTCCCCCTCCTTGTTCTTATATTATTTTTGCTTCCCTTCCCTTATGTTCATCTGTTTTGTCTCTTAAATTCCACATATGAGTGAAGTCATATGACATTTGTGACAATTATTTATTAAGCACTGTTCCTTGACAAGCAGTGTGCTAGGCACTGGGGACATTTCAGTAAATGAAAGTCAGACAAAAGTCTTTGTCTTTGGGGAACATGCATTCTAATGGGGAGAGAGATAATGACAGGCCGTGAAAAATGAACACAGCAAAGTAAATTACACAGTATGGTAGGAGGTGGTAGGTGCTGTGGAAGAACGTACATAGATATTTATGAAGAGAGAAGCGTAGAAAGGATTTGGGAGTGCAAATTAAAGAGTGTGGTCAGGTAAAATTCTGTTAAGAAAATAAAATTTGAGGGGCGCCTGGTTAAGCATGGGACTCTTGATTTTGGCTCAGGTCATGATCTCAGGGTTGTAAGATTGAACCCTGGATCAGGCTCTGTGCTGAGCGTGAGCCTACTTAAGATTCCACTGCCTGCCCCCCCCCCCCCCCGCCCCGCCTCTCTTTCTTCCTGTCTCTGTGCATGTGCACTCTCTCTTTCAGATGAAAAGAAAGATAAGATAGAAAGAAACAAACAAACAAACAAAGGAAGAAACAAAGACACAAAGAAAGAAAGAAAAAATTGGAAGGCAGGCAGTCTCCCAGGATGGCAGGATGGGAGACTGGCCATGAGGATATCTGGAGGAACATTGCCAGGAGAGGAAGCAGGAAGGGGGATGAGCAGGAGACACGGCCTAGAAATTACTGAGAGGGCAGAGCAGGAACTTGTGGGCTGTTCTGGGGAAGCTGGCTCTACTTTTGAGAAAAGTGGGGACCTCTGGAGAATTTTCAGCAGAGGAGTGACCTGATGTGATGTATGTTTTGATAGGATCACTCTGGCTGTAGAGGAGGCAAGGGTGAGAAAACAGGAGGCTATCAGGATAATCTGGGTGAAAGACAGGACCAAGGTAGCAAGGCAGTAGTGAGAATTAGTCATGTGTTGAAGGGAGAGCCAACAAGATTGGATTGGAGGCAACACTGAAGAAAGAGGCAAATTCAGGGTGACCCCAGGGCTTTCCACCTGGTCAGCTAGAACATTTACTCTTAACGGAGGTAGGAAAGTCTGTGAGTGGAGCAGTTAGGAAAGGGCAGCAGCTCAGCTTGGATACAGAACAAGAACATAGATCAACAAAAACATGTTAAATATAATATTAAAAATTAAGGGCAATTTAAATGTCTAACAATAAATAGTTGGATGCATAAATTAATGATGCCCCCATATAGTGGAGTACTGTGGCAACAAAAATATTAAAAATATCTTGCACATCTGTATATTACTTATTGACATACTAACTGGGAAAAAAAGCTGATTGCCAAATAGTACTCATGGCTCAACCACGTTCCTATAAAAAAGAAAAAAAAGTACTTTGTTTTGCACAGGAGAAATAAAATACATAACAAAATTGTAGTAGTTTCAGTGTGGGGTGATTTCATTTTAATTTTTTGTTTTTATATCTTTTTGAAATGTTTGTCATAATTTTTTTGTGAATAAAAAGGGAAAATATGTATTCTAACTGTACTTTAATAAGATTTATATAAATATAATCTGAATATTATATATACATATATATATATGCATAGAAAAAGACTTGAAGGGTATACCCACACTGTTAATGTGTTGGAAAGGACATGAATTATTTTTCTTCTCTTTCCAATTTTTCGCATTTTCTAATTTTTAAACAGATGACAAGTATTGCCAGGGTAAAATTTTTTTAAGTTATAAATTAAAAGGAAAAATTCACACATAGCCAGTAAACTTGACCTGGAAAGTATTGTACCTTCATCTTGTGGACTGTGTTTTGGGACTGTGAGGCTGGCTGCAGGACCATTGCATAGGAAGGGGAGAGGAAGACATTCCTTCCCTTGTTTGGGGAAACTACACAGGTAGCAAGGGCTTCCACTGTGAGTTCACCAGCCAGCCTTCTTCTTGATATGAAAGGCACTGAGAATAATGAGAGGCAGGTAGAGAACAACTTGGAAGATCCGATGACTTCCTCTTCCAATTCAAATAACCTTTGTCTTAAAATGGTTCTTTTAAAAAAATATATGTATTTATTTTGGGGGGCAGGCAGAGAGAGAGAGAGAGAGGAAGAGAGAGAATCCCAAGTAGGCTCCATGCTGAGCACACAGCGTGACACAGGGCTCGATCTCACAATTGTAAGATCGTGATCTGAGCTGAAATTGAGTCGGATTTAACTGAGCCACTCCGGTGCCCCTGTTTTAAAATGATTCTTACAGGGGCGCCTGGGTGGCTCAGTCGATTAAGTGGCCGACTTCAGCTCAGGTCACGATCTTGCGGTCCGTGAGTTTGAGCCCCACGTCGGGCTCTGTGCTGGCGGCTCAGAGCCTGGAGCCTGTTTCCGATTCTGTGTCTCCCGCTCTCTCTGACCCTCCCCCATTCATGCTCTGTCTCTCTCTGTCTCAAAAATAAATAAACGTTAAAAAAAATTTTTTTTTAATGATTCTTACATAAGGAGTTTAAAAATTGCATTCATCTGGTGTGCCTGGGTGGCTCAGTCGTTTAAGTGTCTGACTTCGGCTCAGGTCATGATCTCACAGTTCATGGGTTCGAACCCTATGTCGGGCTCTGTGCGGACAGCCCAGAGCCTGGAGTCTGCTTCAGATTCTGTTTCCCTCTCTCTCTGCCCCTCCCCCACTCTCACTCTGTCTCTGTGTCTCTCAAAAATAAACGTTTAAAAAAATAAAAAAAAATTGTATTCATGTTATTAAAACATTTTATACACTATAAAATGTTAAAATTTGTATCACTTTTAAAAATTCATCCATTTCTCTGTTGAAGACAATTAGTGTTTTTTTTATACCTCTAATTTCAACTTGATATACTTTATTATTTCAGAAGCTTGAAGCATGTGAAGTCCTGAATGCTGCCAATTTTAAACCCAACATTCTTCAATGATTTTTTTTTTTTTTTAAATACAACTCATCCTAGACAGGGAGACTTTAAAAACAACTTTAAAACCATTTTGTGGTATCCATTTTCAAATGCCAGTAGGCTGTATTGTGTACCGAAGTGTGATATCAGGTTCCAAGAAAGGGATATAAATATGAAGTAGCTGCCCTGCCTCAGTGGAATGATTGAGTGATGTGATTTTGTTTTGTCATTTCAAGGGAGTGAAAAAAATAGACCCCGAATTCTATGAAAAATTTATCAGTCACAGATTTGGAGAAGAAATGGTACATCGCATAGATCTTTGCTCCATGCTAAAGAAAAAACAAAGTAATGGTTATTATCACTGTGAGTCTTCAATTGTGATTGGTGAGTGCCATTTAAAAATTACTTATTATCTTTAATTTTGATTTTGTTAATATTGTTTCTTTTTGGCAGATACTTAGGGCTAGTTGTATATGTTCTTTTCAGCGATGTATTTTTGTAAACATTATGTTTTGGCGATAATACATTGGAAATTTTGTAAAACATACGCATGGTTCATGTTTATCGGTCAAGATTTTAGTACCTTTGGTTTTTATATACTTTTGCGCTTTAAATATAATGAAGTCTTGAAATGTTGATTCGAAATTCATTCCAGTTTAATTTTATTTCATGAATATGAAGAAAACATTTTCTCCAGTGAGGACCTGTATGAACGCACCATTCCACACAAGGCATTTTCATGTTTGCTGCTTTTAATTGGGAATAGAATATTCCAGGTCAGAACGTTTCATTCTGAGAAGATAAAGTCTAGGTGGCCTGCAATGATTGAAAATGTGTTCTTCAATTTCTTCCCCAAAGGAAACATGTTTTGTGGGGAAACAGATTCACGCATGAATACTTCTCTCATCTTATCAGGGAGATGGCATGTGATTAAGACAGACTCATACACAATTACGTTTCCAAGTGAAAAATGTATAAACCAAATGAAGATTTTTTTTTTTTTTAAGCCAGAGCAGGGCTGTTCTGCAGTGTGAATGTATTCAAAGGAATTTGTTCACATGTGATTCACATGTGCTATTTCAAATCCAGGCATCATTCTTATAAAATGGTGAACTTCAAGACAACCTGATTTGTATACTTTTGAAGTAACATGAAAATATTCGAAGAAGATAAATACCCATATCTAAATATTTCAAGGTCTTCAACCAAGATAATTTCTCTCCACATCAGCTTGAAGAAAATCCATGGAAGTATACATCCTGAAAGAATCTTAATACTGAAGTCTTTTTAATGCATTAAGGAAATGTTCCAGAGACACAATTTTATTTCCAAATTCTCACTAGGTATCTTCAGAGCGGTCGTCATCTTCCAAAGATCTTAGCTATCTTAAACAGAAGATATTCAATATGTCGTTTGAATTTATGTTCTGAAACATTTCAAGTCGATTTTTAAGGAAGACTTTTGTGTTTTCAGGAGTTTTGCTGGAGTGCTGTCTTCCATGAAGTTTTGATGAGGGCTAAACATTTCCTTTTAAGTTCATTGCAAATGGCAAATGTACAATTTTCTTGTGGAACACAGATTTTGGCTAGCTTGCCATATCTTCTCTGTGATTACTTTAGGCCAACCTTGAAGGAGAGCTCAGTGCTTCATTGCCTCTCCCACTCCCATTTAAAAAGCAAACAAAACCCCCTGAGCAATCTGTAGAATTTCCTGAAGATACTGTGGGATTGGCATGTATCACTGACATTGCCATTAGACAGCTGTGTCCAGCTCATCCCAAATCACAATACATCAACCATTGAATTTTTTATTTTATTGTTCTTTTCAGCTTAGTCTTCAAAACTCCCCTTATTCCAGGCAATATCTCTAGATTTTCCCCTCAGGCTTCTTTATCTCTCATCTTTTTCTAACTCAAAGCAATTTAGCTTCTTTTAAGCTCCACGAATCTTGTATCCCCATACTGATCATTTAACATTTATTTTAAAAAATGGATTTTGCCTATTACAAATACTCTACCTTTTCCGTCACATTTTGTGATGCCAAAATGAACTTTAAAATTATATCTGCCTCGATGAGGCTCCTGGGTGGCTCAGTCTGTTAAGCGTCTGACTCTTGGTTTCGGCTCAGGTCATGATCTCACAGTTTGCGTTCGAGCCCTGCTTTGGGCTCTGTGCTGACAGTGTGGAGCCTGCTTGGCATTCTCTCTCTCTCTGTGTTTTCTCTGCTCCTCCCCTGCTCATACACACTCCCTCTCTCTAAAAATAAATAAACTAAAAAAAAGATTTTAAAATAATATCTGCATCCAGTATAATAATTATCGTGTTATAATTAATACACACTAGAATTCCTTTATTTGCTATGGCTAGTTATTGATTTTCTCAATCTTAATCTTATCTGAGTTTTGTAATAGAGAGTATTTAGGAATATTCACGATACTTTCTTTGTGAGTTTCATTTCTTGATCAGATTTAACTGACTTCTTTTTGATTTGATCCTGACTCAAATTTAAAGCCTGTTTCCTGTACCTTGAACCAATATTTTATTGTATGCATTTATAGAATGGGACAGATTTAAATTCTTAACATATTTTGCATTCAGAATTTCTAGGGTAAGAAGTTGGGTTCAAAGACTTGGAATTTTTTATAAAACTTTGTATGTAGGTACATAAGTGAATTTCTCTAGGGAGGGAATTCTTCGGATTGGCATATTTCCTATGTCTTAATTTGGTAATGAGGCATTCTTGGAGAGTACTAGATTCTAAGTCATGGATTTTCTTTTCAGCTGTCTCAATTATGCCATTTAGGGTATCTTATCATTATTATTTAAAAAATATCAATGACTATATGCTTCATTTCTAAGATTTCCAGTTGATTCTTTTTCATATTTTCCTCTTCTGTTCTTTGCTTTGTGGATGCTATTGCTTCATTCAGCTCTTTGAGGATTTCAATATAATTAATTATTAATGTTCTTTTTATATATTTAAAAGTATTTTAGTTTTTCTTTTTTATTGAGTGAATTTAATGTGTAACATTGTATAAACTTAAGGAGTACAAGTTTTTACTTTGATATATTTATGTATTATGCTTTAATTGCCAATGTAGTGATATTTATCACATTATATAACTGTACAATATTTATGTTTATATTAAGTATATTGTATACTAGATCTTTATGACTTATTTGCTACTTGTTATAAGTTTGTACACTTTAAAACACCATTACTCTAGGGGCGCCTGGGTGGCGCAGTCGGTTAAGCGTCCGACTTCAGCCAGGTCACGATCTCGCGGTCCGTGAGTTCGAGCCCCGCGTCAGGCTCTGGGCTGATGGCTCAGAGCCTGGAGCCTGTTTCCGATTCTGTGTCTCCCTCTGTCTCTACCCCTCCCCCGTTCATGCTCTGTCTGTCTCTGTCCCCCCAAAAAATAAATAAACGTTGAAAAAAAAATTTAAAACACCATTACTCTTACTTCCCCAACCCCCAGTTTTCTGGTAATCATGATTTTATTATTTTTTTTACAGATTTAATTTCCTAGATTCCACTTATAAATGATATCATACAGTACTTGTCTTTCTTTGACTTATCTTGCTTAGCATAATGTGCTCAAGGTCCATCCATGTTGTTGCAAGTGGGAGGATATCCTCCTTTCTCATGGCTGAATAATATTCCATTGTGTGTACATATGACATCTTTTTATCCATATTTTGGATATTGTGAATAACACTGTGATAAACATGGAAGTTCATATCTGGTTGAAATCCTATTCTCATTGCTTTAGGTTTATATCCAGATCTACTGGATCATATGGTGTTTCTATTTTTAATTTTTTGGGGGACTCTGCGTACTTTTTCTTATAGTCTTTGAGCCAATTTACTTTCCCGCCAAAAGCGCATAAGGGTTCTGTTTTCGCCATATCTTTGCTGGCACCTATTGGTTCTTGTCTTTTTGTTGATAGCCATTCTAACAAGTGTCAGATGACATTGTATTGTGGTTTGACTTGCATTTCCCTGATGATTAGTGATGTTTAGCATCTTTTCATGTGTCTGTTGGCCATTTTGAACAAAAAAACAAATAATTGGATTTAAAAATGGGTAGAAGAGCAAAGTAGACATTTCTCCAAACAAGACTTCCCATATTTTTTAAATCTCTAGTTCTGTGGGTGTGAATTCTTCTATTTGTTGGATCTTTTGTGGCACTTCCTTTCTTCTGATGCTTTTTAGGTTTTTGAGAGCCATTGTGTTGTACATGTGTGGTTTGGCAGTCGAACTGGCAACAGCAAACCGTGCTTGTCCATAAGGAGTTGGAATCTATTCTTTTCATGTCTCTTATCGATTTGTGAGATGTGTTGTTTTGTTTTGTTTTGGGTTTTGTTTTTATAGTAAAGACAATTAGCCCTTTGCCATATTGGTCCAAATATTTACCAGGTTTTATTTTACATTTAATTTTGGTCACAAGGCAATTTTCACATTAAATGTTTTTAATTTTTGTTAAATTATAGATGGAATGTTCTCCTGTGATTTCTTCCATTATTAGTCATCTCCAAATCAAAGATTTGATACGTATTCATTTATGTCTTCCAGTTTTTTTGTTATTGCTTTTGCATTTGAGCTTTTAATCTACTTGGTATGATCATTTATACAAGTACTCGGACACAGAGGATTAATGCAGAAATCCAGTTGCTAAAAGTGAGTGTGAAGTAGGGATTTAGCTTTAGGAATATATTTTTATAATATTTTTTATACCCCAACTGTATGTTCCAAGATCACAAATTAGCATCTTCCATTTTGTACTTCACTGGCACAGGGTTGGTTTGTTTGTTTTCTAATTTTAGTAATTTGCCAGTATTGGGGTGATTTATGTAAAAACTCTGGGTTTCTGCTGCCTTCTGAAAAATCAGAAAATGTGATACTGGTTCTCCATTCTTGCATGGTAGCGATTTTCTAGATAGGTTAGTAGGCACACTGACCTTAGAAGTAGCTGCTTTTTATTATCCCCCGTATTCTGTTGTTGTTACCATAAACTTGCTGAACTTGTTCTCACTCTGTGCTTGGCTCCTGAAGCCCTCTGAATTTGGATCCCCCTGCCAGCTATTGCTGTTTCCTGTGCCTGCTTTACATTTCAATGCTGAGCATTTTCCTCTGTCTTTAGCCATCATATACCTCATGTGAGTGTTAGGGGAGTTTGGTAGAATATGGAGACATCATTCATATTTTCAGATACAAAAAAAGGTTATATCTCTTAGTTCTCTCATCATCAAAACTTTGGGTAATAGTATGCCTACTTAATAGTGGGCTGCAACTCCTTACAAACCTAACTGCAATAATCAGCTAAAATTCAAATCCAAAAAGGAAAAAAAAAGGAGCGCCTGGGTGACTCAGTCGGTAAAGCAT